TTATACCTAAAAAATGAGTCACTAGAATCATGCACATAAATTTATTTTGCATAAAAGAAAAAGCTTGCCGTTAATGAAAAATTCAGTAGAAAACAATTCTTTTGCTTATAAATTGGGGCTCAAAAGTAGAAGCTGCTTGTTAGTGAACCCTCAGTAGAAAGAGAATTGTGTAAGAAAACATTCTTGTTATGAAATCTCTAACAGAATTTCTGTAATGAATTATTAACCATGCAATTCTATTGGCAGGATGGCCCGTTTCTGATGGCTTGCAACTTTTTTCAGTCCCTTATATGTCATTAACATGAAAGACACTTAAACTTGCTTTAGAGTTACTGTCTATAAATATGGTGTCATGATGGGTAGTCTTTCATGGTCTCCCTATTTAATTGAGGAGTTCTAAGTAGGTAATTGGCACCTTGCCTTTCTGATTTCCTCTCTCCCCCATTAGCCAGTCTGAATCCATTCCAACGACACTGAACACAGTGATTACCTACAAAATAATAATATTTCCAATTATTAACTATATTGAAAATAAGCATATAGCAAACAAATCAGATTTGTATTAAATATGTTTAAGTTATTCACTATTTAAGGGTTTTAAACATCCATTTAGCTGAAAATTTACATTTAGCTTTAAAGTTATGTAGTTTATCAGTGGCAGTTTTATACATAGGTAAAACTTATATGTATAAACATTTAAAATATTATTTCCATTGATTACTAAATGAAATAAATTTTTAAGTGTCAATATTAACAACTGAAATTCATGAAACATTCATAATAAATTATTTCCAAGTCAATAATGAGAAATCTACATTTTGTTCTAATATCAGACTAGGTATGTTTGTCTGTGATACACTCACCTCATCTGCCAGAAGTGACAGTTCAGAACTGTTTGCAGCGTCATAATCATAGAGAACCCTGGCCTTCCTGCTGCCACTTGATTCTTTAAGGTCATTGAGGTTGGAAGGAGAGGTGATTACTAGGCTACCTGTTGAAGCCATAGCAGAAGGACCAATCACATTTGATAAAGCAGATGGCACAGGTGTCCCAGAAGTCTGATTGTTGTTAGAAAGATAATTGGATGGAAAACTGTTGGAAAACAAACAAAAAACAGAAAAAAACCAAACTCAATAATCTATTTTAAAGTGATTGAAGTTCCTCATTCTTACCACTTGATGGCACCGTTTGCCAACTTCCTCACTGGAGAGATTCAGAGACACTAATATTTCAGTGAGCAAGTGTGGGTCCGCCTCCCCTTCCCTCTTGGGAAGCACTCAAATATAAAATCCTTTAACGGTTGCTTCAAAGCTGTTTCTCTCTATTGACTTAAAGAACATTTTGGCTAACATTCCTTCTTGGGGTGTATGTGTGTGGATATTTAGTCTTAAATGCTGCCAATATGTATGCCACATGTGTATGTATGTATGTATGTATGTATGTAATATTAACCTCTTTTCCTCTCTATGAGGAAACAACAAATAAAAACAAAGAAAAGTAAATAGTAGGTAGTATTGTAAAAATGAAGTTTCCTTAATTTTTTGGAAATAACTGTTTGCCTAAGCTCTGTCATGAAACCAATATATCATCACATTTTCCTATCAACCAAGTAACAAGTATGTACCATCTAATATGCTCAGCACTGCTACTTTAAGCTCAAGACATGAGATGAACTGATGCCATAATTACTTTAAGGGGATACAGACTGAGAGATTAAAATATTCAAGTTAATTTATTATGATTGATAATTATGATGAAATGTAAGACTCAATAGGAGGATATGGCAAATTTTTCTATTATTTTAAAAGGAATTATAAAAGTCCTACTGTGAACAAGTGATGCAATGGAGCTTCCAATGCATTTTATGACTGCTTGTCCAGCAATACTGTACTGAAACAGTAGGCCTGTGCATGTTAAGACATGCTCTCCTACCAAGTTATACACCGTGCCCCATATTTATACTTTAGTCAATCTATTCATTAAAATATACAAGGCCTTTCATCTGGTAAACCATATGAAATTCATGCCTCTGGGAAAATAACATTTATTCTTAAAAGTATGTTTTTAGCATTATATGTATGAATGCTTTACCTGCATGCATGCATGTGCCCTACACATTCCTGTGGGATCCCCCAAACTGGGATTACAGATGCTTGTAAGCCACCATATGGGTGGTGGGAATTGAACCTGGGTCCTCTCAAGAGCACGTTCTCTTAACCACTGCCATCTCTTTACCCTGATAAAATTCTCTTTATGACCACTGTGCCATCTAGAAATCAGTCAGCCACCAGCAACATTCCCTGTAATACTTTTATTTCCTTGAGTCATGTTTCTCTCCTGTACTGCTCTTATGGTTGAATCTAGGGGCAAACTGTGTAGGGATCCTATGCTCCTCATTCCCACCTCTCTAAGCAACTCTCTCTCCTTAGTGATTCTAATAGCCATATACATAATTCTTCCAAAACTTTAGTTTCTTACATCCATGAACTTCTCTGTTAATTTTACACCAGATCCCAGTAGCTATCCTATCCATCCTCGTATTCACATCTAGACCTTATTAATTTCACTAACTGTAAGCTGAATAAGCAGTTTCCAGACTATTCTCTGATCACTTTTCCCTCTAGTAATTCCACCTACAGTAGCCTGCCAATATCTCTGGTACTAGTTTCTTCATGCCTCTATCAATTACAGCAACCACACTGTGCTTGCATATTCCTCATGTCACTATATTCATTTAGTAAAATCTCCCTAACTCCCAGTGTTAGCACTAACGTATCTAGTGTGTCAGGAGAAAAAGAGAAACCTTTGTTGTTTTGTCTTACATTTATGAACAGAACCCCTCAGAAGGGTCCACACCGCTGCCTGGAGATTATATATTAGGTCTAGGCAATTCACTTCTGTTCTCTTGGTGACCATTTGATAGCCTCTCATTTACCTTCCAAATGCCAGCGGTTCTCCCTAAAGCCTTACATTCAGCTGATGGACTTGCTTCTTTTGAATGAAGAGGAAAAAATGAGGAAAGTGGCACCTATTCTCTTACTACTGATGCCTGTCTGTATTTTGAGGGTAATCCCTTCAGAGGTAGTGTACAGAACTGCATCTTGAAGGTCTGTATATTAGTAATCTCTAGTAATCCTTCCCTTCCATCCAGCACTACCACATGTCCTCAATCTGCTTTATCATCTGCATCTTCCTGCAAACCCACTCCACCGTTATTTCTGAATTTAAAGAAACGACAGCCCCTCCTTCCTCCTCTGGCTGCTGCCTTACTTTCTGTTCTTTACACAACAACTACTTGGAAAGTGACCTCAACTTGCTGTCACAATCCTCTTTCACCCACTGTTCAACCAGCTGCCCTCACTGATTTAACAATCTGTGATATGATTAGGACTCTACTAGTCCTAACTCAGCACCTCAGCACAAAGCCCTGACATATATCTTTATTAAAAGAAAGCTCTGAAAGGTCATAACCACTTTAAGAACTTTAACATTTACAAGCAGATCTGTAGAAATTAATAATTAATAATACCAATTCACTGTAGTTTAGTATGTTAAAGCTTTCCAATTACTAAAAAAATAAAAATTAAAAAATGGCTAACTTGGTGCCTGGTACTTGTTTCCTTCTGTGAATATTATGAACTAACCATGTCCATTTTGTGTGGTTGTAAGGACTACAAAGTCTATGAATAACACATACGAGGTGTATGAAAATGTTTGGGTACAACTTAAGCCCCACAGAGGTGACAGATGCTATCCAGCTATTACAAGCAACAATGCTGCCACAACATGGCTCTATCTCCAGAAACAGCTTTTGGGTTGGTTAGTGTGATATGGATGCTCTGTTATTTGTTAATGCTAAGGTCTGCATACAAAAACTTTAAAAAACCAGAAAAAGATAAAGTATTTTACTATGTAGACCAGGCTAGCGTCCTGCCTTAGTCTTTGAGTGCTGGGATTTGTCATGTGCCATGACAACCGACCCTGTCTTGAAAATGGATCTTGAAATAAATGAAAGGGTTCATATTTCTCCTACTCCTGTTGCTGGTCCTTAGCAGTCATACAATTCTTGGGAGGCAGAGAGGCAGGATGGGCAGTCTTCATTAGAACAGAGCTGGTTTTACTTTGTAAGGTACAAAGTACCAGCGATGAAGCTTTGAATAGCTTTAAGAGAACTAAGTGTGAATGGTTAACAAACACGACTCACCTGCTGGACTTCCAGAGTGTAAGGGCACAGTGGGAAGTGTTATGGTTTCCCAGGATTAAACTGTTCTGCCTTTAGACATGAATACTACTAGCAAAATACTAAGAATGTACAAGTGTAAAGCAGGCAGAACTACCAGATCTAAAAATAACAGGCTACAGTTGTTCTGAAGATCTGAAATTAGCTTTGTGATGTCACCTAACTTTGGTCTATGCCTAGATCTGAAGGATAGGTTTAAATAATGAACACTGCAGTGACCCTTTAAACTCTATTTCTTCAAACATATTTTCATGTTTTTCCTTCACATGTTACCTATCACTCCTCTTAATGGTCATATAAATTCCAAACTCCTTTTTATGGTTTCCTTTTAAGGCCATTCATGGTGCAACCCCGTCAACACCTCCAGCCTTACAAATAATTCCTTTCTCCACTGAAAGGCTATGCTCTCACTTGAATGAACTATTGCCAATTACCCAAACTTGCTACTCTCTTCTGTGTCCTGGTTTGCCTGTAATATCCCCCTTGCCTTGTTCTTCATCTAGATGACTCCCACTAAAATAACTCCACCTGGGAAACTCAGCTAGACACAGCGGGGCCATAATTAGATGTCCTCATAACACCCTGCTCTGTCTACATTCTACATGGCTGATCTACCCATGGCTAGTCCTCTACTTAGAAGGCATATTATTTCCAATGTCACCTTACAATGTAAGCTCCATCAAGGCAAGTACCCTAGCTTGCTGTTTGCTGATGTAACTCCAGAATGTATTTGGGGCCTACGACAGGTATTATATAGATATTTGACAATTAAATGATTCAATTATGGACTTGACACACTATTTTGCTTTAAAGTATATTAGCATACTCGAAATAATTATGTAAGGGACTTGAGGTCTTTGGACCATTCCACAATTAACAAATACGAATTAGCTTACCTTTAGGATAACAAAGCATTCATGTAGCCAAATCTATCTTCTTCAACCAACAGCAAAAAACATTCAGTAGTAACCGAAAAGTTAAGCCTCAAATATATCTATCATTTTCTTTATATGGCACTAAAAAACTATTCCCCTAATTATCTTCTCATCTCTGGTAACATTGATTTGTGCTAGGAAAGCTAAAAAAAAAAATACCTCCTAAGTTTTGATAATTACAAAAGGAATTTTTGTATACAAGCTAACAAAATCCTTAACTCTTAATTCTCCTCCCGGCTATTGGATTATATATAGAAATCTTAAATTTTTTTTATTAGGTACCATGGTGGGCATGTGGAGGTCAGAGGACACTTTTCAGGTACCAGTTCTCTCCTTCTATCATGTGGGTCCTGGGACTTGAACTCAGGTCATCAGGCCTGGCAGCAGGAGCTTTTACCCACTGAGCCATGTCACCAGCCACACACATAAGAAAGCTGGACTTCTTCCATCAGGACTTAAAACAATTATGTCTCTGTGTTGGTGGTGATGTTACTGTGCAGGGCAATGAGCTTTATCGCAGCATTTTCATACATAGGTGCCATGCTTTGTTTTCATTCACTTCTCTTCTCTAATGCTCCCCCCTCCCCCCCTTGGCAGCCTCGTGTTCCCTGGTCCAGGAAGTAGGACTTCTCTTGTCTCTGCCTACCATCTTGCTGTCATGGTGCTGGGATTACAGATGCATGCTGCTGTGTCTCATTTGTTCTGTCCTTCCTCAGGCTTGTGTGCCAAGTGCTTACCCACTGAGCCTTCTCTCCAGTCTAACTCTCCACTCTCCCCATCCTGACTTTCATATATGACAAGGAAATTGCTACCTTCCCAGCTGTTTCTGCAGGTCTAACATGTACTGGTAACACTGTGCATAGTAAGTCATCTGGGCTTCTACAAAGTCATTCAGACAGCGGAGATGATGGGCCTGCAATGGAAAAGTTCCAGTCAGTTCTCACAAGTTCTTCAAGTGGCACAAGCCAAGGGAGAATAAAGGATAACACTGTCATGAGGGAGGGAACCTGAAGTATCCTATTACAAAGCTTATTAATGCTCATATTCTGATCAGGCTTATTAAGACTAATTACTGGTGAATAATATATTGACACATTTTGTTTAGCCAAGAAGAGCCAACATGAGGATTTATGAAATGGGAAAAATGAGTGATGTAAGAGAAAATTGACATATTTCTTCAGCTCGCTTCTAAAATCTCACACTTGAAACTCTCCTGATAGTTAACTACACAAGAAAGATCCCTTCAAAGGCAGTGTCTGTTATGTAGCCAGGGTGCCTTGAACTTCACAAACTGCTCCTTAGCTGCCTAAGTGCTGTCTCAGCGTCTTTTGTTCAGAATGACGTAATACTCACATGTGTACTGCTGATTCCCTCTAGCAGAAGGCGGGTAATCTCTGCTTGACGATCAAATTCACTTTGAGTTATTCGTAATTCCTGTTCAGACTTAAATTAGAACAGACTTTAAGGATCTCATTAGAAGATTTAGTTCACTTTACACAGATAGCCCTGCTGCCTGCAAATCCCCCAATATACCCCCAAAGAGTCTGGTGATTCCCCAGTTCTGTGTGTGTGCGGCCTGAACTGGTTTTTAGTGTCTAGAACTAGCTGTGCCACCAAACACTATGAACAGAATGATTCCTCACCAACACTCGACTCCTGCCAAAGCTTGATTGTCTAAAGACATATTAGGACAGTCAAGATATCAGTATACCTTTTCTAGTATTTTGCTGAGTATTTTACAAAATCCTGAGTACCATACTTTTATAAGTATAAAACAACATTATGTTAAAAATTCCAAATTATTATTGTGTGCTTTTTTTTTGTACTTGAAGTTAACATCAATCTTCAATTTTAAAGCCATAGGATTTCCACCTCTTATATTTAGTTACTAAACACTGTTGCTGTTGCTAAGACACCTCTTAGTTGTCCTACAACTTAACTTTGTTTCTTTCACAATTTCTAAGTATGTATAACAGGCTGTAGTCACTAACATCATTTATTATGATTACGGTTTAAAAGTTTTTCTACCAGTTATGGCTGGTCTTCAGTGTTGTGCTAGTACACTGACTTGAAAGGAAAAAGGAAGTGCTCTAACATCCTGATTTGCATGATATAAATACTCTTCAAGTTACCAAGATGAAGTCACTGACTTTGGAAACGAGAAGTAGGTAGCACTACTGGCTTCTGTTTAGTACTGGAACAAAACAGTTCACTGGAAAATTAACAAAATCTAAATATACTAAATACTGGCATTAGATATCTCAGAACTTTGATCAGAAGTAGTTGGCAGGAAAATAAGGAAGAAAAGTTAAAACTTTGCAGCTTCTTTGAAATAATGAGCTTAACTCCACTACTGGAAATCATCGCCAGTGACAGACTCTCTGGCATAGTTACCCATATGCAGACGATTGACATCACTGCTTAGCTGTAATAAAGCAAGGTCAAACACTTTCCTTTCGTAGCCTTCTTTATCTCTTTTATCCTTTGGTGACAAAAGTGACCTCCAGGAGCGAGCTAACTAAGAAGTGCATGGTTGGTCAGTCGCTCTAATATCCCACTGGTAACAGACTTGGGGAAGGGGACAAAGTAACCACTGACCACTAGACTAGATTTATGAAAACATGTTAAGTTATATTACACAATAACTAGAGTTAATACATTAACTTCAAGCAAAACGCAAATACTTTAGAAGGCCTAAAGTCAATTTTATCCGGAAGGCAGTGGCAAGCAGAAAAAGTTCATGAAAAGAATCAGTGTTCTTTTTCTAGAAGGCATAGAAATCCCAATCACTTCAGGTTACACTTATACTATTTACTATTCTGCTTGATGGACTACAAAATGGCTTTTCTTAGTGGAAAAACCTCCGGCAAATCAAAGCAAATGAGTTTCAAAGGTAAACTGGGCTGGTTCTACAAAGGTGTTTGTGAAAGAACAATCTAATAATACGGCTCCTTCTGTACAAATGTAAAGAAATGACAACTTAGGTGTCAGATGCAAGTGATCAAGATGCACGAGACTGAAATGGTGATAATGCTTTAATGGCAAGAAAAGGAAACAAAGACAATATTAACTGATCTCATTAAAGCCATGACATTAGTCTTCTAGGTTTGAATAAAATTTAATGCTTAACTTCAGCTGAACAGCACCATCCTATGAAGCTTAGAAAGTCACACTGCACTATCTAGACTTGAGATTCTGAGAGTGAACAGTAGGAATGAACCTCATCTCATCAACGAATTTCAGTGTAATTTCAAGTTTGCTATAGTCAAACGTTCCCATCTCTCTAGCTACCTGACAATAGAGAATAAGCATCATCAGTTTACTGAGGAAGAATGGCACGAGAGAGGCTTAGAGACAATGAAGTTTAGTAGTAATCATTGATTTTCTAGAGTATCTTTTCTTTCTGACTTCACTTACAATTAAGGTACACATTTCTAGGGGAGATCATCTAAGAATTACTGCTAGCAAGCTACCTATTTACTATGACACTTTAACCTGGGTTGGTGTATACTAAGAGCTCCTTGAAGATGTAAATTGGAAAACGGGCAAGCTATTGGGTGGTGGTATCACAACTCAGTACCTATATGTTAGAGATGCTCATCATACTTCTAAGGTGTTTGCTGTAACAACCTTGGTTGATACTACCTACTTACTTATATGGGCTTAGGTTAGATCTTTAGGAACATAAAGTTTTGAATTCTGTACATTTTTTAAATTATGAAATGATAGAAGCCAAAGTATACAAAAAGAACTCAAATCCATTTAGACAAATTTCCCGTGTTTTCATATACCCTTATATAACAGAAACTTTTAAAATATAAATTTCCCCAATTTACTACACCAACTACTTTTCAAGTCTTATAAACAGAAATCTTTTATGAGCTTGTATTAAGGAAAGATGCCCCAAGTGGTGGTTTGAATGGAAAATGTCCTTCATAGGCTCATGTATGGAACACTTGGTCCACAGTTGGTGATGCTATTTTGGGAGGTGTGGTGGTCTGAATGAAAATGGCCCCGACAGGCTCGTAGGGAGTGGCATTATTGGAAGTGTGATCATGTTGGAGTAGGTGTGGTCCCTGTTGGAGGAAGTGTGTCACTGGGAGTGAGCTTTGGGTTTCAAATGCTCAAGCCAGGCCCAGTGTCTTGCTCTTCCTGCTGCCTTCACATCAGGATACAGAACTCCCAAGCTGCTTCTCTAGCACTATGTCTGTCGGCATGCTGCCATGCTTCTGCTATGAAGACAATGGACTAAACTTCTGAAACTACGCCACCCCAACTGAATGTTTCCTTTTGTAAGAGTTGCTGTGGTCATGGTGTCTCTTCACAGGAAGAGAACCCTAAGACAGGTGTGGGAGGCCAGCTGGGAGGCCAGCTCCCACGTTTTCACCCCAGGGTACTCTTGAGGAGTGAGGGTAAGAGATTTAGATAGAAGGATAAAGGGGAGAGAAACAGACAGAAACATAGGATCGCCTCAGGAGGGCCCGGAGAGTTATCCACCAGCCCCTTCTGTCTCTTCTAAATAGCTATTTATAGGAATGCCAAGGAGTGGAACAAAAGACCTCCCCCTAGTATAGCTAAGTGCAGACCCTTCCAATCACCTAGAAACCATGCACATGGTCAAGCAATCCTCTAATGCAGCTCTGCTGGGTAAAACAAGCTCAGATCTCATGAGGAAACCTTTGTGGGCCCTCACAGACAGGAGGCTATGGAATGTTTAGAAGGTGCACCTTGCTGGAGGAGGTACAACTCTGTGGGTGGGCTTTGTGAGTCTATAGCCTTGCCCTACTTCCTGTTTTCTCCTTGTTTCCTATGATCAGATAAAAAAGCGATCAGCCAGCTTCCTGCTCCTCTTGCCATGTAATGCCTTCCCTGCCATGATATTCTCTCCCTCTGGAACAATAAGCCAAATTAAACTTTCTACCTTAGGTTGCTTTTGGTCATGATATTTTTATCAGTACATCCTGATTTCATGGCTCAGCTTCTATTTTCTCACATGCTGTTCTGCCCTCTTTTCAAGCTGGAGGTTCAAAAGAACTCAGAAGCCAGGATGGGACCACACTAGGTTGACTAAGATTCCACACAGGAAGAGGAGACCTTAAGTCAAGCATTTCACTTGCACTGCCAAACCACACGATCAGCAGCTCAACACACTATGCATGAAACACACAGAGGAATCAGTGCTGTGGGATGTTCTGTATGTCCTGTGGGAGCCCTTCTTGGGTTTTTTGTGGTGTTACCCAGCAGGTCCGCATAGAGGATGATTAGGACCATGGGCCTGAGTGCAGGTGTCTGAGATGGTCTGCACTTGGCTGTGCTGGGGGATGGTCTGTATG